GTTTTATTTTTTAAAAAATTCAAAAATTTTCAAAAATACTATGTCGTTTTATGGATTCGATCGATCTAAGTTTCTTCCTGATCGATCGAAGTTAGATCGATCTGGTTTCCAAGTGATCGATCGAATAGGTCGGAGATCATTTTTTAAAAATATAACCTAAGGGTTATTTGGATCGATTTCAAGATCGATCTAAGACCCCATCTCTCTTCCCCCGCTGTTCATCATCTCTCCCACCTCCAGCAAGTCTCCGGCGACTTCTTTGAAGCTTCTAAACTCTTCCTCGCTCCTAGATCTTCTCTCTCTCTCAATCTCCACTTCTCTCATTTGATTTGGTAAGTTTTGGAATCTATTTTTAGGTTTTGTGCTTCAATCTTGAGTTTATAGGTTTTCCATGCCTAGATCTAAGCCTTCAATGTTCCATTGTTTCCATTTTCGACTTTTCAAGCATGTGTATATATATGTATATATTTTTATATATATTTTTTTGTTCCGATTTCAATCTTGGGGGTCACGTGCCATTCTCAAGTGACCAATATCGTTTTGTTGAGGTGTAGAGGGACCTACGGGCTTGCTTGGGTGCCCCTCGTGTTGTTCACATCACAGATCTGTGACTTTTCGTATTTTTTCAGAGTTCGATCGATCACATTTTTCTCTGATCGATCAGAGAAAGATCAATCTCACCATAGCCAAATCAATCCAACTTGGATCGATCTCATCTTTTTTCTGATCGATTGAATTTCATCACTTTGCATTTTCATATCTCTACACCCTCTATGGTGTTCATGCTAGTTTATTTATGCCCAATGCCTATGTTTTCCACATTGGATGCATTTTATACTTATATTGTTCAACATGCTTCACTTATTTGAACATTCACTGTCCATGCCTGGTTGCATTACCACTTGCATAGATTCATGTCAATTATTCTGAGTTGTCTATCTAACCTGCAAATATGTTTTTATTTATGTGCTTTAAATTCTATATTTCATATGTTATTCCTATTACTGACTACAGTTGCGAGTGTTTCTTTTCTTTTACAGGCCTGATTCGAGTAAAGACTGTTACCAACCGGCAGTATCAGCACCGAGTCCGACAGCGAGTAGAGGAGCCTGAGGAGCATGAGGAACCAGCTCCAGCTCAGTCTAAGCGCTCTTCTTCTTCTGCTTCAGCCTCTTCATCTTCGTCATCTGCCGATAAGGATGAGTATGTACCACCTCCTTCACCACCACCAGCACTACCCCGCCAGGTCTGAGATAGACCTAGCAGGAGATATTCATACCTCACTGTGGCGCATGAAGCTGTCTTCGACACTGCTTTCTTTTCCCTGTCGATTCTGATTAGGGCGACCTTTGATGATATTGAGTGGCGCGGTATTTCAGCCATTTTTGCTCCAGTCACCTACCCAGTTTACTCGAGGGTCGTCCGACTGTTCTACCAGAACCTCCGGCCGACCCCGAGTAACCTATCGGAGCTGCGGATTACTATAGATGGCCACCTCATCCGCATCACAGTTGAGACATTGGCAAGATCCTCTCGATACCCACATGTCTGCCCTCTCGGCCTTCATTATCCTATTCTCAAGTGGCCATTTGACGCAAATATGGTCGTTGCTCTGACTGGCTATTACAGTGATAGCGAGACGTGTGACAGCCCTAGTATTTCAGGCCAGCGTGTCCTGTGATGAACCTAAGATTGACCCGATAGAGGACCCAGATGCGGAAGCAAGAAACAAAACAATGGTCTCCCAAGGCACAACATACCTCTAAGACACTTTGATGACCTTCCATGACATCATGGAACTCAAAAGAATCAAATGCGGAAGCTAAGATAAAAAAAAATAATAACAATTAAGCCCCCAGGGCAAAATAGTCATTTCTAAAACTATAGATTCCGGTGCCACCGAGCACACCGCTAGAAAGACAACAAAAAACTAATCAAGATGGACTTAAGAATCACATGATTCGGAGTTCGGATGAAGGAGAAACGACAAGACGAAGAAAAACAAGCATTTAAGGTTAAAAGGGTAAACTGGTAATTATCTAGGACGATCCGGGTGCAACCGAGCACACCGTTGGAAAGACAGCGAAAAATTAGTCAAGTTATAAAAAAAGGTTCACTTAATTTGGAGTCCGGATGAGAGAGAAACGAGGGTTTGAAATTGAGACTTTGTGACGGCCCGACGAAGGCCACGACAGCCCCATACGTGCACGGCACCAAATGGCATGCACGTGCTGACAGCAAGGGTCCAAAACAGTTTTTCCACAACTGGGGCTTGAAACGGAGGCCGAAACCCCCCCCACCCCCCCGCCCCGCCCCCCCAAATCAAGTTTTCTACCTGACTGCGCGGACGGAAACAAAGAAAATGCACTGTAAAATGCCCAAATTGCCCCTCTATGAAATTAGGTCATAAGGGTTAAAAAGCTGCTAAAATGCAAAACTGAAAGCTGAACTTCGCGAGGGATTTCTGGTACCAAGAAGACATTTTATGGAAAAACATAAAAAAGAAACCCCCCCTAAAATCACGTTTTCTATCCGACCATGTTAAAAGAAGAAAATAAAACTAATGTGAAAAGTCTAGAATGCCCTTAGATCAGATTATGCAATAAACATGTAAAATGAGTCCATAGGAGGCTCAAATCACCAAGGATGAAGTTTTTCTTGAAAACAATCATACACGCAAACGTAACTTACCTATTAAGACGTACTACAATGATCCACGGCTTAAAACTACCGTCGATACAAAATTCGACCCCCCGACGGCCAAAAAGGCAAAAATGAACAAGAAAAGGAAAATTTGAAAACCAAAATTAACAAATGATTTCAAATTACCATTTGGCCCTTGGCACTTCATACATGATTAGTGAGATCCTATGAAAGAATAAAAATGGAATTTTCACACCCAATGCAAACATAGTGAAGCAAAGATTTGTCATTTTTCAATATTTTTATAATATTTCATGAAGTTAAAAGTTACATAGGATACAAACTAGATACCATTGGCCTATGGCCTCATCTTATACATGTCAAATACATTATAAAGAGTGTACTCATGTACACATTATATGTATGGAATCAAAAAAATACAAGTTTTGACGTATAAGGCTACAAAATGATAGTTTATGCTAACATTTGCATGAAATGGAAACTTAAAAGCTACAAATCATCAAAGGAATGATGATCATCACGAACCAAGTCTTCATACCTAAAACAAATCCAGTTAGTTTGGGGTGAGTAACATAAAAGTCATGCAAGACAATGATATCCTATATCATGCTAAGTCCAATTTCTTGATTTAAACATAGAAACAATTTCAAAAACATAGTTAAATCCATAAAACAAGTAGATAGAATTTAATTAACTAAAATAATTAAATTCTCTAGATTTCAAATCAATCCCAAATAATCTCAAATTAATATATGTTAAGAGACATAGCATAGTCTTCACATATATCACATCAAATATCTAATCAAGGGATTAAAACACTTAAAATAAAATTAATTAAACTCATTAATTAATTTTCTCTAGATTTCCAAATAACTCCAAATGTCCTCAATTTTACATAGGTTGAAGAACATATCAAGGCCTATTTTAATATCACATTATAAGTTGATTTCATACTTGTTACAACTATGTGAATTACTCTTTCACAAAAGATAAATATTAAATAAAATTTGCATTTCTTATTCAAATGCTCCCAATTTAATATATGTTGATATCCATACCAATGCCTAATTTACTAGCATGTCATAATTTAATTATAAGGTACACACCTTCATGAGAATTAAATTTTAAACATAAAAAATAATTATATTAAATTCTAAAACTTGAACAAAGACATGCTTACAAGTTGTATATGCTTATATAACAATCAATACAATATTAATTGATAAGTGCACAAAACTTGTTATTTTATACTTAATAATAAGTGATTAATTAATATTTTTTATTAGATTAATGTTCTTATCCTTACTTTTCATTTTTTGTAGGGGCTGATTTCAGAATAAGAAGAAAAGAGATAAAAAAAATAGCAAGTTTATGAGATTATACGATCAGTTAAATTCAAATTTGACTTTCCATCACATCAAGTCAAAGATCATGTAACAACCCGAATTTTTAAGCTTTTAATTTATTTAATTATATTTTTTTGTGTTATTGGAGACTTATTAATTAGAGATTGATTTTTATTTTTATTGGAGACTTAACCATTAGATTTTTGGATATGAATTGCATTTTAATTTTTGTAGCATTTGTATACATATAATTATTATACAAGGCATCTGGTGGAGAGCATTTTGGGTTGCCGAGATTAATGAAGAAAGAAAGGAAATTGTGATTTGTTTGGCGGGTCCAATGGAGATTTTTAGTGGGTTTTGTTTTGTTGGATTTTTAGTGGGTTATATATTATATGTATATATATATAAGCTTTAGAGGGAAGCTTCCAGTCGAGAGATATTTCAAGGGTTGAAATTTGATTTTGTTACATTTGGTTATATATATATATATATATATATATATATATATATATATATATATATATATATATATTATACATATGGTGCATTAGATGGAACAAGGGCTGCCAATGAAATGAGAGAAGAAAATTTGATTTTTTGATGATTGTTTGGCGCTGGTCCCACCTAATGTATTAATGGGTTTGAATTGTGTTGTGTAATATATGTATATATTTGATTGTATGTTGAAGGGGCAGCCGACAGAGAGATTAGAGAGAAAGAATATTGGGAATTGGTTTTGGTAGCGGGTCCCACGTAGCTTGACTTTGCATGTGGCCTTGTTTGTTTGAAAGGTGCTGTGTTTGTTTTCTGTACAAATGAATGTAATACGAAGATAAGGAACAAAAATTGGGTGACGGGACCCAACTGGATTTTTTGGTTCAAAAATGTGATATTTTATTTTGGTGAGCTGTATTAGGATTTTTGTGTCGGTGGGTTGCCTATATAATTTAGCATCTATTTTGTAACTTTGGTGAAGAAACTGGGAGAGTTTTGAGGAGGCACACACACAGTGCCGAGGTGCACACAGAGAAGGCCGAGAGTTTGGATATTGGTGCTCAGATGAATTATTAATTTTCAATGTAGGGTTCTTTATACCTTGAAAAGCATATATATTATTCTTTTGCTTCAAATTGCATATATGTTATTTTGTTTAAAAGCATATATATTATTTTGTGAAGCTAATTTTCATGAAACCCCTTGAGATTCTTGTTATGGTTTTTCCTACTGGGACTTCCCCTGTCTCACCCCCTTCTAGTTTCAGGTACCAAAGATGATATTGGATTGCTAGTTGCAGGCTTAGGTGGAAGAGTTGGTGTTGAGGAATTAATTTTATTTATTTAGAGATTTTTGTGTATTTAATTGAGGAAATTGATTTGTATCAATAAAGTGATATTTTTTTTGAGATCCTGGGTGTAATACTGATGTATATTGATTTGAATAAATCAAGAATTTTATTTAGAAAATTCGGGGCGTGACAGAATGGTATTAGAGCCTATACGCAGCCGGAAGTGTGAGTTTAGTGATGATGTTGTCGGGTGTGTGTGGGCAAGTATTTAGTATTGACTAGCTACCACTCGTAGCCGGGTGTGTGTGTCCGGATGTCGTTCACTGATAGATATTGGGAATGGTAGATGCATGTATGGGTGGTTCTTATCTTGATAAACATAAAAATGATGTTTGGCAATTGTATGAAAGTATGAGTGAAAATTTCATACATAGATCTTTGTCCTCTAAAAATGGAAGAATTCTAGGTGGAAGGAAGAATGTCGGCTTATATCAAGTTGACAATTCAAATGACGTAGCTGCCGAGGTGAAATCCTTAACTCAAAGATTTGATCAATTTTTGGTCAACCACAATTCGGCAAATCAAATGTATTCCTCCCCTAATGATGTTCATCATTCATCTAATGAATTTTGCATGACTTGTTCTAGTGTCTTACATTCTACTTCCAATTGTCCACATGGATATGTGTAAAATGAGCATCATGAACAAGTTAATGTTACATTTGTCAACCAAGGGAATAATCCCTATGGCTCACATTACAATCCCTGGTGGAGGAACCATCCAAACTTTTCTTGGAAAAGCCAAGGGGAAGGCTCAAACCCTCCCCAAAGTGGTTTTCAAGGCAAGTATGTTCCACCTCCAATGCAAAGCTAAGGTTCCCAAGGTTATAGATCTTTATTTCAATCATCACATGGAAACCAATTTTCAAACTCTCATTTTCCTAATCAATCATCTTATTCTTAAGGAAATTCTAGGAGTCCCACTTTTGAGGAGAAAGTGTTGACCGCTTTGGGTATTCTAGAGGCAAACACTCAATTGCTTCATTCCCATTCTTAATCCATTGCTAAGCTAGAAACCCAAGTCTGGTAAATAGCTAGTACTTTAAATGCCAGAGAGAAAGGGAAAACGCCTTTAAATGCCCCACCAAAGCAACAATTTATTGTAGAAACCAATGACGGTCACACAATTGAATATGTTAATGTGGTGACGACTTGAGAAGTGGGAAAATTGTTAACAACCAAGTTGGTGTCCAAAATGAAAAGAGTGAAGCGGTACAACCAAAAGTTGACACTCGTCCCGTTTTACATTATATTCCTCATTCATTGCATGTGCATGATCATCTTGTTGAGAAAGTGGTAAAAAATGATTTGAAAAATGATTTGATCAATGATTTGATCAATGTTTTGAAAACTTCTTGTGTGGAAAATGATTCAAAGAAAAACTTTTAAAAGGTTTTTGAGCCAAAGGCTCAATTTTTCGGATGCCTTGAAAGGATCTATTTCTCTTGGAAAGCAAAAGACCAAAGTGAAAGAAATAATTGAAGTGTTTAGGCAAGTGAAGATCAATCTTCCGCTTTTGGATGCAATTAAACAAATTTCAGCTTATGCCAAGTTTTTAAAAGATCTTTGCACCCAAAAGAGGAAGAACAAAAGCCAATCACCAAAGAAAGTGGTCTTAACCGAGCAAGTAAGCTCCATTTTGCAACACAACACTCTCCCAAAGTTAAAGGGCCCCGGTTCACCTATTACTTCTTGTGTCATTGGTGACCATGTCATTAATCGGGCACTTTTAGATTGAGGAGCAAGTGTTAACCTTCTTCCATACTCGGTATATGTTAAATTGGGCTTAAGAGACTTGAAATTGACGTCGGTAGTTTTGCAACTTGCTGACTGATCCATCAAAAAGCCCTGGGGTATTATTGAGGATGTTTTGATTAAGATTGATAAGTTCTTCTTCCCGGTTGATTTCGTTGTCATTGACACAGAACCGGTCCCAAATCCCAAGAGCCAAATTCCAGTTATCCTTGGTCGTCCCTTCTTGGCAACCGCAAATGCTAACATCAATTGTAGGACGGGGATAATGAAAATATCATTTGGGCATATGAAAGTGAAGTTGAATATTTTTAATCCAACCCTGAATTCAATGGACAAACATGAAAAGGTATGTGTTGTGGAAAAGTATCTTGACAAAGAAATTAAAAAATTTGAGTCTTTGCATGGAAGTAAAATTTCAAATAGTTTGCCTTGAAAAAGGATTTCTAAAAGTGTTGTTTTAAAAGCTAGTGTTGAAAGGGTATGGAAGCCCAAGAATTGCATGGACCAAGGACTGTGAATCTCCTTTAAGTCAAATCCAACAAGTTCTTTAGGGAACAATTTGTTGGGAGGGATTCAAAGTGTTTTTCACCCCGTCAAAGAGGGGATGCACAACAAGATTTTCGATCCGGGCTAAAACAGCCCAACGTCTTGCTAGAGACGTTAAACACTAGTGCTTCGTAGGGTTTACAACCCTATTCCTCCCCCATTTCTATTTTACCTTTTGTTTCTTGCGTCGTCTAGATATGTTCTCGGTTCATACACATTGTTGAGGACTTTGATTGAGAATGCATGCACTTTTACTATGAAATTAGGCATTCATTGCCTTTTCGATCGATTTTAAAATATGTTCGATCAATCGAACTGCCAACCCTGTATCCAATCATCTCTCTGCCCATCAAGCGTAAATTTCCTGCATATTTCAGCTCTCTGTGTATCGTGCGAACTTCATTTTTGATCGATTTGAGATTCCAAGATCGATCCAGTTTTCACTTGGATCGATCTTTATTCCATACTTAGAAAAAATTTTGAACTCATGAAAAATCACCTCTCTGTGTAATCGTTCGAACTTGTCTGCAGGTTTTCACCTGTTGGATCGATCGAATTTCGATCGATCTAAGTTTGATCGATCTGAGTGCTTCCTGTTGACTTTGACTTCTTTTTGAATTTTGTTTTTAATTTTTAAATTAATTTAATATAAAAGAAAAAAAAATCCAAAATATTTTATTTTATTTTTATTTTTACTTTTGTTTTTATTTATTTTCTAAAAATCCAAAAAATATTTTGTTTTATTTTTTAAAAAATTCAAAAATTTTCAAAAATACTATGTCGTTTTATGGATTCGATCGATCTAAGTTTCTTCCTGATCGATCGAAGTTAGATCGATCTGGTTTCCAAGTGATCGATCGAATAGGTCGGAGATCATTTTTTAAAAATATAACCTAAGGGTTATTTGGATCGATTTCAAGATCGATCTAAGACCCCATCTCTCTTCCCCCGCTGTTCATCATCTCTCCCACCTCCAGCAAGTCTCCGGCGACTTCTTTGAAGCTTCTAAACTCTTCCTCGCTCCTAGATCTTCTCTCTCTCTCAATCTCCACTTCTCTCATTTGATTTGGTAAGTTTTGGAATCTATTTTTAGGTTTTGTGCTTCAATCTTGAGTTTATAGGTTTTCCATGCCTAGATCTAAGCCTTCAATGTTCCATTGTTTCCATTTTCGACTTTTCAAGCATGTGTATATATATGTATATATTTTTATATATATTTTTTTGTTCCGATTTCAATCTTGGGGGTCACGTGCCATTCTCAAGTGACCAATATCGTTTTGTTGAGGTGTAGAGGGACCTACGGGCTTGCTTGGGTGCCCCTCGTGTTGTTCACATCACAGATCTGTGACTTTTCGTATTTTTTCAGAGTTCGATCGATCACATTTTTCTCTGATCGATCAGAGAAAGATCAATCTCACCATAGCCAAATCAATCCAACTTGGATCGATCTCATCTTTTTTCTGATCGATTGAATTTCATCACTTTGCATTTTCATATCTCTACACCCTCTATGGTGTTCATGCTAGTTTATTTATGCCCAATGCCTATGTTTTCCACATTGGATGCATTTTATACTTATATTGTTCAACATGCTTCACTTATTTGAACATTCACTGTCCATGCCTGGTTGCATTACCACTTGCATAGATTCATGTCAATTATTCTGAGTTGTCTATCTAACCTGCAAATATGTTTTTATTTATGTGCTTTAAATTCTATATTTCATATGTTATTCCTATTACTGACTACAGTTGCGAGTGTTTCTTTTCTTTTACAGGCCTGATTCGAGTAAAGACTGTTACCAACCGGCAGTATCAGCACCGAGTCCGACAGCGAGTAGAGGAGCCTGAGGAGCATGAGGAACCAGCTCCAGCTCAGTCTAAGCGCTCTTCTTCTTCTGCTTCAGCCTCTTCATCTTCGTCATCTGCCGATAAGGATGAGTATGTACCACCTCCTTCACCACCACCAGCACTACCCCGCCAGGTCTGAGATAGACCTAGCAGGAGATATTCATACCTCACTGTGGCGCATGAAGCTGTCTTCGACACTGCTTTCTTTTCCCTGTCGATTCTGATTAGGGCGACCTTTGATGATATTGAGTGGCGCGGTATTTCAGCCATTTTTGCTCCAGTCACCTACCCAGTTTACTCGAGGGTCGTCCGACTGTTCTACCAGAACCTCCGGCCGACCCCGAGTAACCTATCGGAGCTGCGGATTACTATAGATGGCCACCTCATCCGCATCACAGTTGAGACATTGGCAAGATCCTCTCGATACCCACATGTCTGCCCTCTCGGCCTTCATTATCCTATTCTCAAGTGGCCATTTGACGCAAATATGGTCGTTGCTCTGACTGGCTATTACAGTGATAGCGAGACGTGTGACAGCCCTAGTATTTCAGGCCAGCGTGTCCTGTGATGAACCTAAGATTGACCCGATAGAGGACCCAGATGCGGAAGCAAGAAACAAAACAATGGTCTCCCAAGGCACAACATACCTCTAAGACACTTTGATGACCTTCCATGACATCATGGAACTCAAAAGAATCAAATGCGGAAGCTAAGATAAAAAAAAATAATAACAATTAAGCCCCCAGGGCAAAATAGTCATTTCTAAAACTATAGATTCCGGTGCCACCGAGCACACCGCTAGAAAGACAACAAAAAACTAATCAAGATGGACTTAAGAATCACATGATTCGGAGTTCGGATGAAGGAGAAACGACAAGACGAAGAAAAACAAGCATTTAAGGTTAAA